TTCACAAATGTCTTCAATGCCTTAATTATCCACAGTGAGGGATGAATCGCATGTGACCCACCTCAGAGCTATTTGTGATACACCAGTGCCTCTGGGGATTTCCAGGTTGGGTGAATCTTTAGGACCATTACAGCTCTGTTATTTATCAGATTCTGTGGAGATGTGGGTGGGTGAAGGAGATTGAGTTTAAACTCAAAGGAGAACAATCGTAGGGGGTGGGGTTGCTGTGATGCAACGCCTGGGGTACAGCATTGTGACTCTGAAGGGGGACGGCAAGGGCTGGTAGGCACAGAAGACAAACGCCACCCACTCATGGACTGGCTGCAGCCCTTTACTAGATCAATAAGTCTCAAACTCGAAGTGCACATACATTACCCAAAATCTTCTTAAAATGCATCATTTGACTCAGTAGGTCTGGAGTAAGGGCTCAGATTCTGATTTCCTAACAAGCTCTCAAGTGATCCCGCTGCTTTGGGCCCATTAAACACACTCTGAGTAGCAACGGCTTTTTTTCTTCTTCCCCACAGAGGGTGCCTCAGAAGAGGAGATCAAACTCAGCAAGATGGTGATGAAATTCTGGGCCAACTTTGCTCGGACTGGGTGAGCCTGACAGCAAAGATGGAGCAGGGATGGGAAGGGGTATGGCATATCTATTGGGAAGGGTAGCTTCTAACGTTTGATGGTCAAACTCCTAGACCTGTGTTCTCTGACATGAGAGCTCTCTAAAAATGGACAGGCTGCCCAGGAGATAGTGAGCTGCCTGTCTCTGGAGGCATACGAGCCTCTAGGCAGAGATGACACCAGGCATCCCTGAAAATTTCAAAGGATTGTTGGGACCACACAGTAGATTTGGAGAATATCTCTTTGATTCTGTTCCCAGGAGCCCCAATGGTGAGGGGCTGCCCCACTGGCCAGTGTACGACCAGAAGGAAGGGTACTTGCAGATTGGTGTCACCACTCAGGCAGCCCAGAAGCTGAAAGATAAGGAAGTGGCTTTCTGGACCGAGCTCCTGGCCAAGAAGGCAGCAGAGAAGCAACAACAGACAGAACATGTTGAACTTTGAATACGCTACCTGTCAGGCCTCAGGGGCCTGGGGGAGCCAAGACAGTGTGTTCTACCAAATTTGCTTAAAGTCCAAGGAGGCACCTTATTGTGGAGGCTGGGGAATTGTCTGGTGGGGGTGGACAGAGACCAGGGAGCGGGAATTTCTGTATGTGGCCTAAATTTTTGAAATAAATGTTCTTTAGGAGAGCAAGTGAGTATCTGTGTCTTGAACTAGAGAGTAAACCATCCATCCTCATTAGAGAGAAGCATGAAGAGAGAGGGCACTATCTGCAGGGAGTTGCCTCTGACAGGTCTGACTTGGCCTCTGGACAAGCAGAGCAGCAGGCTGGGCCCTGGGACACTTTGCATCTGCTCCATGTCTCTAGGCCCTCAACACCTTCCAACAACAGGATGTGGGGTGGCCAGAGTGCAGTGTCCTTGTCCTCCCTGTGGAATTACCTGTAGAGATGGAGAATGCACCAATCAAAGATGTACCTGGAGTCTGGGGGTAGGGGAAGTGCCATGGTGACCCTATGCCACTGTTGTGTTGCCTTTAATAACCCTTCCACAGGTCTACACGTCTTTCTCCAACATACACAGTACATTCCCAGTCCTTTCCCTGAGGCTGTCTCTTCCAACAGTTCATCTGAGCCCCTTCTGCAGCCTACACCACTAGAAGTGCTTGGAGTGAGTCCCTGAAGTATCACCCTAAAACTGCCTCTTTCAGCATTGCTGGGCTGACTCCTGGCCTCTGCTACTTGTAGAAAGCACTAATGAGTGACACTCCCACCCTAACAGCAAGAAAAAGCTCGGTATTCTCAAAATCATGACTTTTCCTGAATGATTTGAAGAGCTGAGGTTGCAGGTGAACAATTACCCTGAGGTCTCAGGAAGACAGGCATTTTGGAGCAGAGATGGGATGCGGATGCTGACTCACCATCTGCTACAGGTGGAAGATGGGGTCACCGTGGGTGTGAGTAGAATTACTCTAAAATTCCTAATCAAGTGCTAAAGGCCAAGTGTGGACTAGTATGAGGGTATAAAATCCTAAAGAGCCACAGACCCATGGGGGATTGTATCCAGACTCTTCTCCATGGACCTCCATCAGGGGCTGCTGAGAAAGATGGGGAGTAGGTAGTGAGACCAGAGAAAGCCTGCCTCAGGATTGCATGCCTGAAGCCCTGCTAAGACCCTTCTCCCTTAAGGAACAAAATCCCTCAACCATTGTAAAAGGGCAGGAAACCCACCTCCCTTGGGGCCCTGGAGGAGACCTATTAAGACTGCAGAAGAGGAAAATTTAAAAACCCTCTACCCCTGGGAGTGGGACAAGAGACCCTCCTGGGTCCTGGTCTTTAGAGGTCTTTTACTGCTGGGGAGGGGCACAATCATTGAGAAAGCCCCCTCTCCACGACCAAGGGATGAGGGTCTGCCTAAGGCTGAGGCTGGACCAGGACAAGAGAGACCACTCCTGGATGCCACCACCAAGTCAGCACACACCAAGGACTGAGCAGCTGAAATGTACCACTGGGGGATGGAGACAGTGTGGAGAGAGAACTTCTCTGAGGGGCAGGTGCACAGGGCAGGGGTACAGCTGAGGGTGGAACAGGAACATTGGGGTAAACCTTTCAGCACCTCTCGCCCTAAGCACAAGATAACACTGGAAGAATGTGAATCGCGTGGCGCACTGAAGAAAACCTCAGCAACAACGAAACCCAAGCCCTGCTCCTCTCTTGATAATTGGACTCAACTCTCCTGACACACACACACACACACACACACACAGGCAAACGTACATGAACAGACACACGCGTACACATGCACATTATAAGTCTAGCAGAAGAGTATGACCATTTCCACTAATACATACTATTTACTTCATTTTCTACTCTCTCACGTTTGCTGCTCAGGGGGACTCTGGATCCCTCATCCAAAATTGGAAACACAGAAAAAGCAAGAAAAAAACTCCACTAACATGAGACAAAACAATCAACAGAAGTAGAGTCAGAGATGGCCCAGGTGTTAGAACTAACAGACTAGGGATCCAAAACAACTATATGGAAAACTTGCATCAACAGATGGGTAATTTCAGCAGAAGGAAGCAAATTGGAAGGTTACAATTTTTTAATAATAGTAATACAGATGAAGAATGTCTTCAACACGTTTATCAGTACACTTGACGCAGCTGAGGAAAGAATGTGTGAACTTGAAGAAAGGCCAATATAAATTACCAAACTTCAATAAAACGAGAAAAAGAGTGGGAAGAAAATAGTACAGAGGATCGAAGAGATGTGGGACAATATGGAATGGTCCAGCATAGGTGTAATTGGAATCCCAGGAGGAGAAGACGGAAAGAAGGAGCAGAAACCATAGTTGAAAAGCTAATGCCCAAGAATTTTCCAAAAATAATGAAAGACATCGAAGCCTAGATCCGGGAAAATCAGTCAACTCCAAGCAGGATTAAAGGACAACAACACACAATGAGACAATATTGAAGGCAACCAGAGGAAAAGGAAATGACATGACGTAGAAGGGCATCAGGAAGGGCACTTGACCACCCAAATGTATGGACAAAAGAGGCCCAGAGAGGGGAAGGAACTGGCTCAAATCACCGAGAAAACATCAACAAAACCTTGGAGCCAAACTGAGGCCTCCTTGCCCATAAGTTGCAGTCTCTCTACTGCACTGCCTGGCCACCCCCACATGGACCCCATCCATGCATGAAGGGTCTTTCCCTCTTGACCATACTCTCCACTCATTTTCCCTCTGCATCTGCCTACAGCTGCTGCCCCTCCCTGCCCAGCTCCAGCGTGTGAAACCGACCCTATCAAACACTCGTTGCCTCCACATTCCAGGCAGCTATGAGAGACCAAAGACTTTGAAAGTGCCATCAACAGACATTTCCCTTCAATAATTATGACTAATCTTTGGCGAAACTGGTGGCATGAGCTGGTGCCTGAGCTACACCAAGTCATGACCTACAATAGAGGAAGGGAAAGCAGAAAAAGAAAGGAGAAAAAAACATGAAAAAGAAAGATTGGAGATGAACAAAATTCAGCCTGGCTTAAAAGAAGCAAAAACCTATAGAGGCTGAAAGAAATCCATTGGATGAGAAATTCTCCATCCTGGTTGCCCATTGGAATCAGCTGAGCAGCTTCTAAAACATGCCCTTGCACGGGCCCCATCCTGGTTCTCATTCCTTTCCTCTGGGGAGATGCCTGGGCATCAGGACTTTTTAAAAGCTCCCTATGTGGAGATGGAGTACAGCCAGCGTAGAGAGCCCCTCACCTGCTCAGTTTGTTCCTGAAGGAGGACCCTTTCTATAGGTCCTGTGTCTCCAGGGCCCTGCACAGAGCATGTGTTGAGTGCAGGCATGCACGGCTGAATGCAGGAGCAGACAAATAAAGGAGTTGTTTTCCAGGTACCTGAGATTGCAAAAATGTAGGCTCACCCAGGATATCTTCAGTGACTGGGGCTTGTGGTCAGAATGCAGGAAGAAGGAAAGCAGCGCACTGAAGAGGCCTTGTGGGGACAGGAATGTCATCAAGGAGGTGAACCCAAGTAAGCTACGACAACAAGGTCATTGTGTCAATTCCCCTGCAGTGTCGTGTACCACCCCCTAACCTGGATGGCCCCCTTCATGGTCACTCAGCCCCTCCGAGCCTCTGCTTCTGCAACTCTTACCGATGTCTCTGGGTCTGACACTAAGGTTTCTGCTCACTGTGACCTTGAATTGCACTCTGTCCCCTCCCCTGACCTCTGGCTTTCTCTGCACAGTTTCAGTCCAACCTTCCTGAGATAGAAGGTGTGATTGGCTATGTCAGTCACCCTTCAGTAGAGATCATCCCTGACCAGTGTGTGGCTTTGTGCACACTAGTCCTTCTTGGCCTGGGTGCCTGGCCTAGACTGCACAGCTGTGACTACACAATGGGGAGCAGAGCAGCCCACATCTCCCCCTCAGAAGGGCACTGGGGAGTGGCAGCCTTCTGAAGCTGGCACCTCGTAACCACAGGCCCTGCCTGGAGCTTCCCCGGTCAGTCCAGGAGGTGAGCACCTGGATGAGGGATGGACAGTGAGCCCAGGGTCAGCCAACGTGTCCTGTCCATCAGTCCCTGTGCCATCAGCTCATTTGTGTTCCTCTGTGCACTGGCACCAGGAATAAATGTGAAGGTGAGGGAGCTGGTGAGCAGAGGGGTTCCTGTTAGACAGTGGGCTCCTCAGGGTCAAGACCCAGGTCAGATTCATTTTCATGGTCCCCCAGAAAGTGTTTGGCAAAGGGACTAGGTGGATGGACTCATGGATCTTTACAAGGTGGAGGTGGACATCAGCCTTCGGTGACCTGTGATTATGTCTTTGAAGTCTATACTAATAATAGTAACTAAAAGTTATTGAATATTTATTATGTGTCTTCATAATAATTACTTTCATATTAATTCAAATAATCTCCACAGGAACCCTATGAGGTTAGAACAAGGGCCAAGGAAACTCAACTAGTAAGTGATGGATAGGACCAGCTACATAATTAACAGTGCAAAATAGAACTGTATAATTTACATAATTTTGTTGTGCAAAGTAAAATAATCCTCATTTTAAAAGTTATTAAGAATTTCATGTTGGTTACAGAGAAGCATTTAAGGCCTCCGGAGGCCTTCAGAGAGCCGGGTCTGTGTGACTGCACAGGTCTCACGCCCGTGAAGCCGGCCCTGGTGACAGAGCTGGGATATGAACCTCGCAGTCTGGCTCCAGAGCCTGAGTCCTTAAGTGCAAAGCACCCCTTCCTTCCTGCGCAGGACACTGTTTACCATCCACCTCTGGGCCCCTCCTCACCTGTATCTTCATCCCTTGATTCTGGCCAAAGGCACCGATTTGATGATTCTCTGCTGCCCTCTTGTGGGCAGAGTCCATGCACCCACACCTGCTTCGGGGATGGGGCCAGGTCTGCACCCCAGGCCGAGACTCCCCACCACGTCCCCAAACAGTGTGACCATGCCTGCGCTGACACATCCAGGGACGGCATTCAGAGTAATCTCTCGGCTCTTGCAGCCTCTGGAGTCCTAGCCATGCAGGGGCTGCTTGGGTGGGAGCTTCCCAGCTCTTATTCCTCCTTCGAACTGAGATTAAACACCTTCAGGCCCAGGTGGTCTCCCAGCCTCTAAGACAGAACTAATCCAGTTCCCGCACCTGGGAAGTGCTCAGGAAGCTCCACTCACATAGCATTTCTCTGCAAAGCGTCTGTCCTCTGCCTCTCACCTGGGCGGGTCTAAGACTCCTATCAAGTCTCCTGCCTCTGTTCTCCACCCTACAGGGCCAGAGTGAGGCATCTGAACAGCCACAACTGTTATCACCTCTGTACATGCGATTCTGCAGGTCCACTCATTCAGAGTCTGGGCTGGCCTCTTGACTTGCTTTGACAGTAAAACATGGTGGAAGTGATGGTGTGTCAGTTCTCAGCTAAGGACTCAAGAGGTCTTGCACGTGTCCACTGGTTCTCCTGAATCCACGTGACTGGCACGTGAACAAACCCAGGTTAGCTTGTTGAAGAATGACATACCACATGGAGGGGAGCCATCCCAGGAGAGGCTGTCTAAGACCAGCCAGCTTTGAGCTCACTCACAGCTGCAGACACCTGAGTGAGCCTGATCAAGGTCAGCTGAACCTGGTCTTGATCAGCAGAACTGTGGGAGGCAGATGGTCGACAGACCATGAACTACAGACATGGTTGTTGTTTTAAGATCCAAAGTGGTTTTGTTACCCAGCATGTGCTCACTGATACGTTATATAACAACCAACTATGATCACATCACTGCACAAATCTACAACATAGCACTGGCTCCCAAGCGCCCCTGGAAACTGTTCCATCTCTTTATACCAGCATACGAGGACCCTCATCTTCTGGTTTACTTTCCTCTACAGCCTGTCCACTTGCACCCTGCAAATTTCTGCACATCCTTACACTGCAGAATCATGGTATTGTCATGATGTGGAACTTACCTCCAGACTCAGCTCAAGTGCCATCTGTTATGGGGAGCCCTGTCTGATGTCCCTGGGTGGGGTTATGTGCATGATTTCTCTGCCAGGCTGTGCCTTGTCTCACTTGTCTCTGTAACCCAACCATCCCCTAAGGGCCGATGATGTACCAAACACTTGTCTAGACTCTGGAGACATAAAGAGAAGTAAGTGGTTGTGCCTCCCGTCCTAAAAGGCACTGGCCCCATGAAAGATCATGTCAACAAATGGTGGTAGGTGCGGTGACAGGGGTAGGTCAGGGAAGGCTCTTCTAGGGGTGACATCTTGAGGGACCAATAGGACTTAGCCAGTTTCAGAGAGATGGAGAAAGGCCCAGGGATGAGGCGCAAGGGGACAGGGTGTGCTGGGGGAAACACCTGCGTTAATCTAGGGTGACTGGGGCAGAGAGCGGGGGTGAGATGAGGAGGAGGAGGAGGCTGAGGAATTTGGATTTACATTGAAGGAACGGGGAGCCGCTAGAGGACTTCAAACAAGCATGCAGGAGGTGCTCAATATGTGTTTCCTGATCAGCACACCAGCTGTCTCCTCCATCAGACCGAGAGTTCCTTGAGGACAGGGTTATTTGACCTTTGTGTTCTCTAGTTCCTTCAGGTACATAGTAGGACTGGGTATGACTGTGATCAGTGAATGAGTGAATGAATGAGTGAATCCATCCAAGATATACCAATATGAAACCAAATATATCTTTTTATCCAGACAAGAACCCTTTTCACTCCCTGGTTCAGGGAAGTGTTGAGGGTTCAAATAGGCTCTGAGACTGGTCCAGAGACAAAGACTCCTCGTCCTCCTGGCTTCCCTCAGCCTCTACTTGGCAGCAGGAGCCTGTGTTGGTGCCACCTGAGGGCCACAGTGCCCATGTTCTATTTTAATCAGCTTCTGCTATTGCTATGATGCCCTGTCAGCTCAGAGAAGGGGAGAGGGAATCCAGAATGGGGAGAAATGTTCTGCTCAGTGGACATACCCACCCACTCAGCCAGCTTAGAGGTGCCTCTGTGAATGCCAACCCACGGTCTGTCTGTCCTCATCCTGGAAGAACTAGTCCTGAGTCCCTATAACGTCGTCAAGGATAATAACTGATTGCAGCCTGTGGGAATGAGAAGCCCTTATCTATGGCCGCTTGGACCACGGTCTTTCAACCCCTCCCCACATTTGTCAGCAGATGATGGAATCCAGAGTGAGGAAGCCATGGGAAGGGAGTCAATGACCATCATCCTTCAATATCCCTTCTTATCCTTCTGACATAACCCTGATTCTGTTCAGGGCAGCAAAGTACCCACTTACAATTTCTTACTCTTCCCCCAGACTCCCTTACAGCTAAGAATTGCCATGTTACACGGATCTGGCCAATGAGATGTAGGTAGACATCTGTGTGGGGTTCCAGAAAAATCTACTCTTCTCCATAGTAAAGAGACACAGGATCAACTGGTCTCTTCCTTTTACTCTGTTTCCCTTCCTCCTGCCTGAAAGGTGGGCAAGATGTCTGCAGGTGGATTAGCCCTTTTCTCTCCATGAGCATGAGAACCACATGCTATGGATGGTGAACAGGAAGCTAGAAGGGTTGCAAATTCTTCTTGACTTCCTTCAGCATCTCCAGAAACATCCCAGGCTTCTGAGCATGTCCAGATGAAGAAAGTTCTCCGGAAACAAGAAGATTTCTCCCTTTCTTCTTGCTCAAGAACATCTCTCATGCTGACCTATTGCCTATTTGTTACACAGGAATGAGAAAACCTCATTTAAGAGACCATGATTAGATCTGTTACATGGAGCCACTTGTCATCCTAACACATGTACACTCTATGTGTAATCTTTTTGCATTTTGTGAGCCCATATGGCATACCTGTATCTGGCATAAAGAACCAGAGAGCATGGGTCTGGTGTGTGCCTGGGGAAAGCCAGCAAAGGTATTTTCCCTGGGAGACAGGAGAATTCTGTTCAAAATGAACTCTCTCTTATTATATTACCTAGGACAAGTCATTTCTTCCTAGCGCAATGTAGGCACTTAAATATATCTATGTATAAATTTCCTTTTTTTCCTTCTCTTCTCCCAAAAGCCCCCAGTACATAGCTGTATACTCTAGTTGTAGGCACCTCTGGTTGTGCGATGTGGGACGCCGCCTCAGCATGGCCTGATGAGCGGTGCCATGTCCACGTCTAGAATCCGAACCAGTGAACCCCGGGCCGCCAAAGCGGAGCATGCGAATTTAACCACTCAGCCATGGGTCCAGACTCATACATAAATTTCTATATATATGTATTATATATACTTAAGTAGGAGTATATATACATAGATAACATATTTATACAAATTACATATATCTGTACATATAAATAAATATATTTGTTTTTATATGTATTTGTAATGAAGAGAGTGTTGGAACCAGTTGAGAATCCATGTCCAGGTACCAGCTGGACCATGTTACGCCTGTGTGGCTGGGGACCAGGGAGATGGCATATCAGAGTGGGTAAAAGAACAGACCGGAGCCTGACTTCCTGGATTCAAACCTCAGTCTCACCAACCAGTAAGTTATTTCATCTCTTTATGTCTCAGTTTCCACCACTAGTAAATGGGGTTGATAATACTACCTCATGGACTCATTAGGAGGATTCAATGAGCTGCAGTTTATAAAGCACTAGGAACAGTAACTGGCACAGGATAAACCAATGTGTTTGCTAATTAAATGTTAGCTCAGCACACTGGCCTTGTCCAAGGTGCTGATGCTCCTCAGGTCCCAGTTCTCCTGGGAATCCATGACTCGTGAGACTGGGATGGCCCCATTCTCTCTTTTAACAAAGCCAGGCACTCCTTGTGCCATATTTCCCCATAATGCCAAAACCATGGTGGGGGCTCTATAAATTTAACTGCCTAGCTAGTAATTCTAATCTTGGCTCTGATGCTCCCTGATCTGAATCTGCATCTCATTTAAAATGGCAGAGTTGCAATGTCTTTCCTTATCTGTGAAGTGGGCATGCCTCAAATATCACCCTGCCCTCTCACCTCTCTCCTTTGGTGGAGTATTTTTACTACTGTGTGATTGGAGACGGGGTCAGGGCTCAACGGCAACTACCATGGGAGTTTGAGGAGTTGTGATGCAAGAACAGAAATTTAGCAAAGCCTGGGAATGGGCTCAGAGTGGGCAGCAGGCAGGTGCCCTGGTGTTGGGCTGACGTGGCCTTCAAGTCTGCAGCAGGACCACTGTGGCCAGAGGCTGGGCTTGCATGAGACCTCTTCTGTCCTCACTTTGAGTCACCCTATCCTAGGTTGGGACTCTGGACTAGAACCTGGAGCTGCAGTGGGTGTGGGGGCCGCTCCCTGTATAGTAGCCATTCTCTGCTGCAGAAGCAATTTATTGGTGGCTCCTGGATATGTCCAGGCCATGGTCTTTTCTGGGGCCTTCTCTGGGGATGTGAGTCAGCATAAGTGAGGCCATTTTGTCATGCTAAATAGCCCCAGTTCATCTTCTGCATGACTACTCGTTGCTCTGCATGTACTCTGAAAACATTCACATGCTCTCCTGATTTATGGCCTCAGCTTACGTATGTACTACCCGATAGCTTGATAAATTAAGACTTTTTTCTATGAGTTTCCCTCCAGGAACAGGCTGATCACAGGTGGGGAACACACCTACAAAGTGTCCATCACAGCTGACAAAGGAATGGAACAGTAAAAGACCCTGGAGTCCATCAGGACTGAAGTAAACCCCCTCCTTACTCCCCATTTTGCCTATATCTTCCTCAAGATTCTGCAGTCCTTGAAGATGGGTTTTTGAGACATTAGTCTTCCATCTTCCTGATTGTGACAGCTAATTGAATTAAATCTTCCTTTCTTGATCCCTAATTCGTTGTGATTAATTGACTTCTCTGGAGTGATGTTATAGGCCAGTCTCTGTGAGAGGATGGAGAATTGGAGGAAGCCTCAGCCTGGTCCAGGGTCACCCTTCCAGTGGCCGAGAAGATACTCCAAAGTAAGGGTCACCTGCTATTTGGTCCTGAAGTCCCACATGGACAGCATGTGAGGTTTGTACAAAACACAGCCCACCCGTTTGTGGAGTTGGTCAGTTCACTTTGAGTCATTCATCCAGTGAGTGTTTATTGAGCCAACTACTGTGGTCAGACACTGAGCCAGGCCCTAGTGATCCAGAGCTGAGGGAGACCCACATGCTCTCTGCTGTGGGGGAGCCTACAGTTCATGGAAGGGACTGGCATTGAACAAATAAACGCACAGGCAATTTTCTATCCATGATGGGTATAAGTGCTGCAGAGGACAGGCTCAGAGTGCAGTGAGAGCACAGGAGATGGGACTGGCCCTGCCTGGGAAGCAGGCTGGCCTCCCTGGGGTGGAGACACAGGGCAGGACTCAGGGAACATAATTAGAGTCAACGACTGATCACTAGATGATGGAAGCCCTCCATGCTCCCGAAGCGTGGACAATAAAAATGCTGAAAGCAGGTCCTGGTTCCCATGTCTGGGATGACCTCACGGAACCCTGACCCTCCCAGTCACCCAGAGGCTGCCAGATTTTGAGATTTCATGAACAGGAAATATGTCACAAGGAACTGGGGGAAAGAGCAGACAACAGTGGCTGGGGCCCTCTTCCCTCAGTTCTTGTATGGCTCCCTCCCTCAAGTCCTCATTTGTCTATCTGTTCCCTCATCAGAATGTGAACTCCAGGAAGTGTTGCCTAGTGCTGAGAATACTGCACGGCCCATACGGGTTCTCGGTAAATATCTGTGGAGTGAGTGGGTAAAGGAAAGAAGAAATGAAATCTTTATCTTTCAAATTAAGGACATCAAGAAAAGATCATCATTATGATTTACAAAAGAAAGGGCATGGTAATAACCAAAGAATAGGAAAGACATAACTTTAGAATAAAGAGCACTGTTTCCCAAACACTTATCCATGTGTATATGTTCATGCAATGCATACAGGTAAAAGAAGAACAATACGTTTTGGAGATCTCTGGTTTAGGTTTATCAGGTGTCAGATTTAGGAAAGAGGCAGGTAAAAGCTGAGATACCAGGTCACCGTGAGCTTGGACAGGGAGACTTAGGACATTTGGAGCCATGACAAACCTTAGAGTGACCACGGGAGTGGGTCCAATGAAGGCAGTCTGTCTAGCTCATCCTTGGAGGACTTGAGGACTGAGCATCACCTTCCCACATAAATAACAGTAGGAATAGCAGTAGGAGCATTTATTGCATAGGACATATAACATAACAGCAGGTAACATGTGTTGAACATATATGTACCAGGCACTGTGCTAAGCACAGTCCCTTTTTCCTTTCAAGGTCCATATTATTATCCCCAGGTTACAGATGTGGAAACTGAGGCTTGTGTGTGTGTGGGGGGGGGGGGTAAATAAGTTGGCAAATGTGGTGGGTCTGTCTTACTCTAGTGTCCACATCCTTCTGTATCCCCTCTCTCATTCCAACAGGAATGACTTAAGATGACCCCTCCATTCCCTGTGCCCCTGTCTTCCTCCAGACTGGCCCAGTGCTCACCTCTTGAAGGGAACTTCATGTGCTGTAGAACTTGTAGACAACGTAGGCTGGCACCAGAGCCATGGAGGAGAACGTGATGCCCCACCCAACCTGGTTGTCCCAGAGTGGGAAGATGTAGTCATTACAGGTGAGTGGCTTAAAGTCGATGATGCTCACCACCACCATGTGTAAATTAATAAAAGAAACCTCAACTAAAATTGGAGTCTGGAAGACCTGTAGAGGGAGCTCTAATGCCTGCCACCCATTGTCAATACCCCAAAGAGGAAAGGACTTACCTGGCATCTCCAACAGCAAGTTGGCTACTACTTTACTACCCCAGCAGGAGGAAGGAAGAATTTCTTTCTGTCCTTCAACAAGCCCAGCCAATGGAAAATACCACAGCTCAGCAAATGAGAAACCATCATCACCCTGGACTCTTACCCTCCTCCAAGGAACTTTCACAGAACAGCCCTCTCTACTCCCCTTTTTTCTCTTTAAAAGCACAATCCCCTTCTCTGTTCTCCGGCCTTGCCGGTGGTTTTTGCCATAGCTTGCTTGTCCCAAACTGAATTCCTCTGGCTATTCCTGAATAAACTCAATCTGCTGCTGAGCTAACGGGCTATTTTATTTTAAGGGTGACGGTAACTGTTGTCAGAAATGGGATCCAAATGAGGAGATCCCTGAAAGACGATGATCCCTGGAACCAAGCAAGCTCCCTGCACCAGCCCCCCGTGCTCAACGCTCTCATGAGTTGCTGCCAAATATATACATATTTTTTTTTATTGAGGCCATATTGACTTATAACATTGTGTAAAGTTTAGGTGTGTATTGTTATATTTCAGTTTCTGTGTAGCCTACATTGCGTTCGCCACCAATAGTCTAGTTTTTATCTCTCACCATACATATGTGATCCTTTATCCATTTCACCCACCCCCCACCTCCTTTTACTCTCGTAACCACTAATCTGTTTGCCAAATTTTGGTTTGGTACGTCTCTCTGAGCTCCACTCTTCTGCATTTTGAGCTCTCTGATTTTATTCATTAAACACTCATTAAAGGCTTCGTTAATTCCAGTTCAAGGCTTCATCCTTGGTGTCAAGGTTTCATCCTTGGTGAGTACTCGATTATTTTCCTTTCAGAAAGGGTAAGATTTTTTTTGCAATCAGGCTAGCCAGGAATATTCTTCTGTTCCTTGAAAAATTTGAGATGGGATCCCAGTCACCTAAATGCTCTAAGGACAGCCCTTCTTCAGGGCCCTTTACCAGTTTTATGTTCAAAAACTATGCTCCCTCCTCATCTGCATTTTTAACTAAATGAACTGATTTAACTAAAAATAATTTACAACATCAATGACCATTATAGAGAATTTTTGATCTCCTCAACCTTTCTTTCCTCAGAACTAAACCAGAAAGCTCCAGCTCTAAAATAAAACAAACTAAATGATACACCTGTTTTAATTGGTTCCTGGAATCTTCTAAACATACCCAAGACTCCAAAATCACCTATTTGTAAAATACCAGTTATAAATTATCTGAGGCAAAGAAACAATAGAAGGAGTCAAAACGGCTTCTGAAGCCTTGTGCTCCCCTCCCAAAGTTTCTACGTCTCAGGCGCCATCTTGTTTGTTCTTCTGGTTCCTTTGTCTCAGGCTTCACCTCCTGCACCATCTTCCTCTCTTCCCCTCTGTGAAAATCTGTCCCTTTAAAATCAGACCCTCTGAGGATTCAAAAGCTAAACTCCTAATAACTATTGCTAAGTTAACTGGAGCAAATAGACAACTAGGAGGAAAAATTTAAATAGCAATTACCCTAGGCTTTGGATAATAGACAAATATACTCTGAAACTCCTAGGAGAAAACTTACATGTGTTTCTGTCTGTTTGTTGAAATTCTTGGTAAGGAATAAAAACATGATATTCTCAAGATTTTTAGAACAACTGTTGGAAAACAAAGTCCCTCATAGTTAAGAAGTTTTAGGGAATCCAAAGACAAGAAAGGTTCCACCTGGCTTGTGGGCCAGGATCTTATGCCTTTCTGGAAAAATGAGTAAGCTTTTGGATACTTTGGAAATGTAATGGCCATTCTGAGGAAATTGTTTTAAATAAATCCACCTTAAGTGTCACTCTTAGAAGAGAGGATTCCAAACCTTCCAGGAGACAGTGGAATACATTCTTTGATTGGTATGCAGAAGTTTCTAGAAGACAAAATGGCTCCAAAAAGAATCTTATAGCATGCAAAAAATTTGTTTAGTAGAAAACCTTTGGGCATCTGACCAAATAACCTTAACTTAATCTGTCTGCCAGAAATAGAGTTTGGATCCAACTATTCTTTTGAGTTTTGTATTATTGCGCCTGAAGTTTTAAAATGAAAGCCATGAGGTCTTTGTTTGCATCAATCTGTATGTTTATGTGTGTCTGTGTGTGTTGTATTTTCTACCTCCAGATATTATCACCAAAATTAATTTGTAAAAAAGCTCTATTTAATTGATTTGAAATTAAGCATTTATAAACTAAGTATTCCTAAATCTCAGAAATAAAATAGAAACTAATCAGAATGTTTTTCAAGTTTACAGGATCTAGAATTAGTCTTTTGTAAATAAATCTTTAGATTGTTGCTTTAGTTGAAAAAAGTATATCTTTAGAGTTATCAACACTGAATATAATGCAAACATACAACTTTTATTCTACCTGGGTTTATTAAGATGATGTGACTCTGTTACAAAATTTGGCAGTGAGAAACAATAATTTAAGATGGAGGTTATCTGCTTTAATGCCACAGGAAGCTTTTGTGAGTAATGCAAACATAATTCTTGGAACAAATGATTTAGATGGATAAAAGTGGGCTAAGAGATTTGAATGCAATAATTATGTTGTACGGTATGTGTGCTTAAAAAATAGCATCCAAAATCCTTTTGGTAACTTAAAACTTTATAGCTTTGCTGAGTTAAATTAAATGATGGAATTTCTTTGAATATCTGGATCATTTCCAAACAAGATTAAATACTAAACAGTCAATTACTGAACACAGGGTTTTCTACTTCTCACTTTATTTTTGAGGAAGATTAGCCCTGAGCTAACTGCTGCCAGTCTCCCTCTTTTTGCTGAGGAAGACTTGCTTTGAGCTAACATCCATGCCCATCTTCCTCTACTTTATATGTGGGACGCCTACAACAGCATGGCTTGCCAAGCAGTGCCATGTCTGCATCCAGGATCTGAACCAGTGGAACCCTGGGCCACCAAAGTGAAACATGCACACTTAACTGCTGTGCCACCAGGCCAGCCCCTACTTCTCACTTCTTATTGCAAAGAAACTGAAGATAAATTTGGGTCTGTTAGTAGCCATGTCTTGTGCCACATTGAAAGATTGCTCTATTTAAAAGGGCATATATACTACAAGTTATGAAATATTTTTATAAATTTGCCAGTCCACAATTGCTTGCTTCTTAGTTTTCACTAGGAATTAAGGATTCTAAGGGTTAAGAATTCTAAAATATGAACAAGGGGCCAGCCCAGTGGTGCAGCAGTTAAGTGCGCATGTTTCACGTCGGCGGCCCGGGTTCGCTGGTTTGGATCCCTGGTGCAGACATGGCAATACTTGGCACACCATGCTGTGGTAGGCATCCCACATATAAAGTAGAGGAAGATGGGCATGGATATTACCTCAGTGACAGTCTTCCTCAGCAAAAGGAGTAGGATTGGCGGCAGTTAGCTCAAGGCTAATCTTCCTCAAAATAAATAAATAAATAAATAAAATGTGAACAAAAGCTGCTAGAAACAAAAAGGGAAACATCTTCATGTGCAAGGAAAGTAGGGTGTGTGCTTAAGTAAAAGAAGGTATGAGGAATGGAAATGCATTTTCTTGAGGGAAAAGAAAGCTATTTTGTCCTAAAGAAATGCTGGTTATTTTGTGTTGGGAAAGAGGAAAACATAGGACAAAGTCTCAATGTAAATGCAAGTTCTGAAAGGTTTGTGGAAAGGAATCTTGGGAAAGGAATTTTATGTGCAGTCAAGACTGGCTAAGATTGGAATGAATGAGTTTTAATATCAAAAGTAAACTGATGCTGGGCCAGCCTGGTGGCAGGGTGGCTGGTTTGTGCTGTCCACTGTGGCAGCCTGGGGTTTATGGGCTCAGATCCCAGGCTTGGACCCACGCACTGCTCATCAGGCCATGTTGTGGCAGCCTCCCACATACAAATTAGAGGAAGATTTGGACAGATGTTAGCTCAGCAACATTCTTCCTCAAGCAAAAAGAGGAAGATTGGCAACAGATGTTAAGTCAGGGCCAATCTTCCTCTCCAAAACAGAAAAG